AGGGGTGTGCCAAAGTGAGGGAGTGACGGAAGGAGGGCGAGGAGGAGAGGAGAGGAGAGGAGACGCGGTGATCGTCTCTTCAAAATGAGGACCCAACACCACAGGATGGTTGGGGAAAAATGGTCTGAATTCCACCAGCACTTTAGGGCGGAGGTGGTCTGGGGCGCTTCCTCGTCCCACCTCCCTCCTTCCCCTTCTGGGAGGGGGCTCCCCCACCTTACAATCAACCCGCAACTAAGGACGCACGATGAGGATGCAAGGGCCTTGGAAGGCCATGTCGACACTTTGCGAGCGGGGCGCGGCCAGCGAAAGCGGCCAAGGATAAGCCGACGGGGAAGGATGCAAGGGTAGCATTGGAAAACTGCTCATCTTTACTATGCGGGTTGACTGTAGCACCAACCCTTTCAATCTGGAGTGCAGCGTCAGCTCCCAAGCGCAATCCCATCCCGATTCCCACCCACGATGACAAGATAAGGTGTTCGCTACCAGCGGAGCGATGGGAGGACGAAGAGGGTAGCATTGGAAAGCTGCATGGGAAGGGTAGCATTGGAAAGTTGTTCATCCTTACTGTGCAGGTTGGCTTTACCCCATGTCGCAAGGCTCCCCCCTCGTCGGGGGGAAAGAGGCCAGAAAGGGGATGGGGCGCTGGGCCCAAGAGGTGTGGCGGCCGCTCTGAGCTGCCTTGCTGCTGCCTGCCGTGCTCCTTTTGTCAAGGATGGACTGTCGTACTGCTTCTTCTTGTACGAAAAATACTCGACGAGCTCCAGCTTGCTTGCTGGTGTTTTGAAGTGCTCGGCGAGCTCACGCTTATCTGTCAGAGGTGCTACAGACGCCCTCCCTCGAGGATTTAGGGTGGAGGGGAACTCCTGAGACCACTGCCTGCTAGTGCTCCGTGGGACCAGTTTAACGCTCCCTTGGTGCCTCGTGGGGCCTGTGGAGACCTCCTGGCGCCGTCTTGGGCCCGCAGGAGTACCAGGGACCGTGTCGCAACTTGAACAGGTGTGGGCCTCTATCGAGGGGGCCAGCTTGGGGGCCTCTGGTGATCCCCTGGGGCCGTCTTCGGCCCCTCCTGGCCCCTCTGAGATCCACTATTGGGCCATCGTGGGACCATCTTCAGGCCGCATAGCCCCATCGGGGGGAAAGTACTGCCAAGGCTCACAAAATTGAAAGGCCACTGGTTCTCTATGGTTTGCCACATCGGGGGGCACGTCCGAAGGGGCTCCGTGACCACCCGAGCCCGTCTGGTGGCGGTCTGGAGACCTCTTGGAAGCCTGGCGGAAACCCTCTGGGACCACCTTCGCCCGTCGTCTCTCCCCTCCGAGCCAATATGAGGGGACGTCTCACCCTATCCCAACTTGCAGAAGTGACGTGCAGCGTGATGCGCGCCAGTCCCGTAGAGCCAAAAGACTAAAGTCCGCGCAGAACCATCGGTTTTCCAATGATGCTCGTCTCTCGAGGGTTGCTGGCCCCTGTGGGCTTTTTTACAAACCTGGAGGGAGCTGGAGCACTCTTGAGGGACAACTATGGGGGGGACTGGCATAGGGGGGATGCATCGACATGGAATCGGCGATACATCGCCGATAGATCGGCGATAGGCCTCCGATCGTGAATCCGCACCTTCATGGGCAGTTTGGGGCTATCGGGCCCCTATCGGCGATCAATGGGCGATCGGGGGTCGATGCATCCCCCCCTATGCCTATCCCCCCTTATCGTTGCACCTGAACTCTTGGGGCCGTCCTGAGGCTGCCTGGGGGGCCTCCCGGGGTCCTCTGGAGTCGTCTTGGGCTCCTCCTGGGGCCTCTCTCGGGCCGTCGGCTGGAGGCCTCAAGAGCCCGTCGGAAGCGGAGAAGCGGAAAAATGCAAACTCGGCCTTACTGGAGACCACACGCCGGTCTTGTGCACTAGGGTCGACTGGAGGGGTTCACTGGCTCTCTTACGGGAAGTCAGGAGAATCACAGATGGCCTCCAGGAGGGCACAAGACATCCCAAGGTGGCTCCAGTTGGCTTCTCAGCTGCCTCCAAGAGGCCCGAAGACCGCCTCGAGACAGTTCCAAGTGGCCGCGGAGCCTCCCATGGACGCTCCCGAAAGCAAAATGCGTCCAACACGTATGGAACCACATTGTTTCGCTTCTCGCCTTTTGGCTGTCAGTGAGCTTCCTAGGCCTCAAAACGGCTGCAAGATAGCCCAAGGGAGCCCCAAGAGCAGCCCAGGAGAGCCCCAAGACGAGCTCAAGAGCGCCGAAAGAGCGTCCCACGTGGGCCCTGAGATGCCAGTGGTTAACGATCTGGGCCAAGTAGGCTCCGCCCACTTCGCGGAGTTACCACTCCCCTAGCCACTTGGGGCACTCATAAGGTAGATTGCAAGCTGGGTTAGGCCAGATAGCGATAGAACCCGCCATGGCATCCACCCATAATCGCCCCCACATCCCGCAAGAACAACGGCGCCGGCAGTGTCGGCATCGCTTCTACCTCTGAGCTGGGGAGGTCTGGGCGATGGCCGCCGAAAGCCGCCGTTAGATGAAGAAAGAATCCACATAAACATATAAACTTTTGGCGCTCCGCGCGGACTTCTCGGACCTGCGCTGGACCCCCCATGGGGCGGCGCCGGAGGCGCCGCCAGGGGGGCCCAGCGCAGATCCAAGAACTCCGCGCGGAGCGCAAAACAAATTATGTCTATGTGGATTCCTTCTCCTTCGAGCCGTCGCCGTCGCCGTCGCCGCCCGCGACCGGCCGCCGACGGCCACCGAGGGCCGCCCGCTGGGCCGAGCGGCGGCGGAGGGCGCGCGCCGAGCGGCGGCGATCGACGAGCCTCGGGCGCCGCCGCGGCGGCGGCGGGGTCGGGCCGCCCGGCGTCGTGGTGGCCTGCCGGCGGCGCGCCCCCGGGGGGCGGGAAGAGGGCGAGGGCGGGCCTCTCTCGGCCTGGAGCCTGCTGCTCGAGTGCAGGCTGTGGCCGCGTCCCCTCGCCGTGGCCTCGTGCCGCCGCTGCTGCCGATTGGCGGTGCGCACAAGGGGGTGGAGGGAGGGGGAAGGCTTCTCAGAAGCAGGCTGCCTCTTAGAAGGCGCCGGCCTTGCGTGTATAGATCAGGCCCGCGCCTTCTGAGAAGCAGGGGTGTTTCTGAGAAGCCTTCCCCCCTCCCCCTGCCCCCCTCTGCGCGTGGCCGACTCATGCCGCCGCTGCTGCCGAGCGAGGCCAAAACGGAGACGGCCCACGAAGTCGGCAAGACACCGCTTGGGTCAATCCCGGTGACTGGGAGCGGCAATCCTCAACAGGCTCGGAACTCCCGAAGAACTCCCGGCAATCGTTGCCCAGAACTCCCGAAGAAGTCACAAGTTGCTGGAAGCAGACATGCATAGTTGAGTATCCCCAGCCCGCGATCACAGCGATGTTGCAAGCATCGCATGTTGTCTCCCGATGGGGGGTTCGACCAGGGGGTGCTGCACGAGCCCATTCGAGGCCTCCGAAAGGCCCCCCCAAGGAATCACAGGCATCCTGGAGGCCTCTGACCGACAACCTAGGCACGGCGACGGGATGCGCCGAAAGCTACTAGACCAAATTAAGACAATCAAGCACGACGATGAACACACTCTGATGCAAGAATATTGTTCACATCGGGCTGACGTGTCGTCCCTTCTGCCAAACTGTCTGGTGGTCCTGCGCATGCCAAGGTATGGAAACACTGCTCCTACATTTGCTAAAGGTTACACTGAAACAAACCAGGCCCCAGCCCTCCCTACCCTAGCCAGGGTTTCAAGGTTCGGGAAACCGTACGAGAAAGAGATTCGCAGTGGGCTCCGAAGGGCTCTCAGCACGTTGCGGGGCTTCTGAGCCTCCTGGGGATTGCCGTTCCCTCACGATGGGCTCGACCTAAACGGTGTTTTGGCGATGTCGCAAGCCAATTTCGTTTCGGCTTCGCTTCGCTTGGCAGCAGAGGCGGAACGAGGACACAGCGAGGGGAAGCGAACACAGAACGAACACGAAGAGCTCTGTTCAGTTCGAGCCCTGTCCTCGCACTTCCCCTCGAAATGGTAGGCTGGCGTTTGATGGGACCTGGTTCAGTGATGTCTGCCGAGAGACGCCCCCTCCGCCCCTGTCCACTTGGTTTAATGAGTTGGGCCCATCTTGGGGGCTTCGGGGCCAAATCAATAACCTGTTCCCCTTACCCGGGGTCCTGGCTACGTATATCCCCAGGCGCCGATGAGTCGAGAGGGATGGACGCCCAGAGCGATCCAGGACAATTGCGGTCCAGGGCAACTCCTGTTGGGGCCAGCGAGGCGCAAACGTATGGCTACCCCTGACTGCTCCCAGCCACGATGTTTCGGAGCTCTGAGAACAGCATTGTTTAGGTCGCCCGCCGCCCAGCACCTCAGCAGCGCCTGCGTCTCCTCCTCCTCCTCCTCCTCCGCCTCCTCCTCCTCCTCCTCCTCCTCCCTCCTCCTCCTCCCTCCTCCTCCTCCTCCTCCCTCTCCTGGCCTCCTCCCTCCTCCCCTCCTTGACCTCCTCCTCTCCTCCTCCTCCTCTCCCTCCTCCTCCTCCTCCCCCCCCTCCTCCTTCTCCTGCATCCTCCTCCCTCCGAAGACTTCTCACGGGACTTCACCCTCGGCGCGCCGCCGAGGCCTGGCCACGCGGGCGGGTGCTGCGCTGTGCGCAGCGGCGGCGGCGGCCCCGGCGCCCACCTCTGCGCCGGCGGCGGCGGCCCTCTCATCCGCCGCCGGCATCGACGGCCCCCGAGGGCCTCCCGGAGCACCCACCGACGGCATGATTCCCAACCCTGGTGCGTTGAGGGTTGTCGTTTCGAATCGAGCGCCATGGTATCCAATCCTCTTTCCTCGCTCCTTCCCCCCTTTTCCTCCTCCCGCCCCCTCCCCCATCCTCGTCCTCCTCCACTTCCTCATGCAATTCCTGGATAAGGAGCTACACGAAAACAAACCAATGATACTTGGCAATGTAATGTAACAGCGGGGTTTGGCGAGCGCTGCACCGAGAAACATTTTAGCCGAACGGCGTCGGTAACGGCGGCGCTCGACGTTCACATACGCTTCAGCTCATCAGCTAATCGCAACAACATGTTCTAACATCCCCCCTCGGCCGACATGGCCAACAGAAGCGGCATGGGAGAAGAAAACAACAAGCGAACTGGATACGAGCTAGCGACGAAAGTTCAAGCAGACAGCGGCCGAGTCTCCAACCCAGCAATTGAGGATGGCGCGAAGTCAAAATCATGCTTAACCGCACTGCCAAAAAGCGAGTGAGGCTTGAGCGAACAAGCACAATGGGTTCCTCACGCGCGATACATTGTTTCAAATGTCGTGTCATGCGAATGCACGCAGGGTGTATAACATCTTCAACAGTGAAGTCGGCAAACGGGCAGAAGAAACAGAAAAAGAAACATTATCGAGCGCGGTGGTGGAGCGGCCACCCCTGGCGTGGACCTGCTGCCAGGTGCTGTCGAAGCGGAAACTAGATACCGCTAGGTCTCGTGAGCTGGGTCGTTCATGACATCCGAGTGGTAAGCCTCGTCGTGCGCACCCGTCATCGTTCTCCTTAACCGCCTTGATGCTTGTCCACCACGCTGTCGAAAAGCCCTATCGCTTCTCAAAACGCACTTCTGCTTAGTGCAACTGTTTGCAGCAGTGCGTCCCATGGGGGAGGGACTCCACCTGCTCGAAACAGGCGCCAAAAGCCGCCAAGATCTACTCCAGTGGGGGGAGGGGGGGGGGTGCGAGGGCCCGAGCCGATCGGCAAAACAATTAAGTGAAGGGCGTGTCAACATGGGGCGACGGTGCCGTGCGGACGCTCCCGCTGGGGCCTTCGGTCGAACTCTCTTTGGGGCCACGAACCGTGTGAAGGGTGTGCCGAAAATGGAGCGGCGGTGCGATTCGGGCGCTCCCGCTGGGGCCTTCGGTGGAGCTCCCTATGGGGCCACGAACAAATGTGAGGGTTGTGCCAACATGGGGCGGCGGTGCCGTGCGGACGCTCCCGCTGGGGCTCCCTATCGGGCCACGAAACGTGTGAAAGATATTCAAAATGGGGCGACGGTGCCATGCGGACGCTCCCGCTGGGGCCTTCGGTCGAACTCCCTATGGGGCCACGAAATGTACCAAAATTGGGCGGCGGGCCATGCGAACGTTCCCGCTGGAGCCTTCGGTTTAGCTCGGGGCCACGAACCGGGTGAGGGGGTGGTAAATGGGGCGGCGGTGCCATGCGGACGCTCTCGCTGAAGCCTTCGGTGGAGCTCCCTATGGGGCCACGAACAGTGTGAGGGGTGTGCCGAAATGGAGCGGCGGTGCCGTGCGGACGCTCCCGCTGGGGCCTTCGGTGGAGCTCCCTATGGGGCAACGAACCGTGTGAAAGATATGCCACAATGGGGCGACTGTGCCATGCTAACCTCCCGCTGGGGCCTTAGGTGGAGCTCCCATGAGGCCACGAACCGTATGAGGGGAGCGCCGAAATGACGCAGCGGTGCCATGCGGACGCTCCCCCTGGGGCATTCGGTGGAGCTCCCTATAGGGGCCACGAACAGTGTGAGGGGTGTGCCAAAATGGAGCGGCGGTGCCATGCGGACGCTCCCGCTGGAGCCCTTCGGCGGAGCTCCCTGTGAGGCCACGACCCGTGCGAGGGGCAAGACAAAATGGGGCGGCAGTGCCATGCGGACACTCCCGCAGGGGCCTTCGGTGGAGCTCCCTATGGGGCCACGAACCGTGTGAAGGGTGTGCCGAAATGGAGCGGCGGTGTCATGCGGACGCTCCCACTGGGGCCTTGGGCGGAGCTCCCTATGGGGCCACGAACCGTGTGAAGGGCGTGCCAAAATGGAGCGGCGGTGCTGTGCGGACGCTCCCGCTGGGGCCTTCGGTGGAGCTCACTATGGGGCCACGAACCAAGTGAAAGGTGTGCCAAATGGGGCGGCGGGCCATGCGGACGCTCCCGCTGGGGCCTTCGGTCGAACTCCCTATGAGGCCACGAACCGTGTGAGGAGTGTGTCGAAATGGGGCGGCGGGGCCATGCGGACGCTCTCGCTGGGGCATTCGGTTGAGCTCCCTATGGGGGCCACGAAACGTGTGAAGGGTGTGCCGAAATGGAGCGGCGGTGCCATGCAGACGCTCCCGCTGGGGCCTTCGGTGGAGCTCCCTATGGGGGCACTAACAACATGCGTCGTCTTCTGATGACCTGTAAGAGTGACCTGTCGCCAATGAGCGGCTTTACAAAGCGGCATCATAAGAGTGCCAATCGACGCGACGGTAAAGGCATGACTTCGCACCGCCACCCGCTGCCGCTGCCAGGCTCTTTGGAGTGGCCATCGGCAGGGACCGCAAAGGTCGACGGGTCGCGGCGGTCGCCCCTAGGATCACCCCATACGGCACCACTGCGGATTGAGGCAACGACTCGGTGACGAGTGGAAACATCGTATCCTCTCTCTGCGTGGTTGTTGGACGGGCTCCGTGGGTGCCGGCCACTGCGGCGCTTAGGCCGTTGCGGGTTACTGTTGATTGTCGTTCTGGGGA